ACATTCTTTCAGAATTGGAGCAGCAACAACCGCACAGGAAGTAAGATTAGAAGACCACTTGATTAAAACATTAAGCAGGTGGTCATCAGATTGTTATACTAGGTATATTCATACCAGCCCAAGAGTAATTCAACAAGCTCAAAATCAGTTAGTTTCATCAATTTCCTAGTCTTAAACTGTTGTACTGGCAATAAAAGGAGAAATTAACTTGGGGCTACAGCTGCTATGCATCTGTATTTGGACTATTCGATAAAATTGTATACTTTTATCATCAAATTTTATCTTATCCCCCAAGTTTTCTGTATATTAATTTTCATTTATATGTTAAAAGGGGGATAACTCTTAAATGTTTATTATGAGTATGCAGCTGTTAGTCCCCAGTTTTTCCAATGTTATATTTCTATTTATATATTATATATTAGTTTTAATAAATAGTTTTATTAGCACTGGATCTTTATTTAGTCTGAGGATACAATTATTCCACATTGAATAACAACACATAGATACTTGGTCACTTATCACAATACTGGATATCAAACGAGATGCAAGGTATACATCAGTGAGATAGTTTTGTCTTGGAAACATAAGACATTATTAAGGTCAAATACAGTCTTCAACAATAAAGTTATTTCGCTCTCTATCAAGTTTAAGGATGAATATAAATTAACAATTATTTGGATAATTGATGTTTATATAAAGGATTATCACAGTTTTAGTCATAAGATAGGGTTTCCCTTTTTTGTACCTCTAGATCATGTTAGCCTCATTTTCAACTTAGTTTGGGATATACGTCATCTATTTGCTGCTTTCAGATCAATAGCAGTGCACTTATGTCGTCAGATATTTTCATTACGTTTTGATTGGATTTTCATATTTTAAATTTCTGCCACATGATTACCATATAGTTTGATAAAAGTGATTTCCGATTGGTTCCTAAAGCATGATAACCATATGGAGTCTGATAATGGTGATTTACTACTAGTCCCTCGACCATGATAACCATAAATTTTCTAATAATGGTGATTTCTAATTGGTCCCTCGAACATGATAACCAGAAAGTCTGATAATTGTCCCTAGAACATGATAACCATACTTTCTGATAATGGTGATTTCTGATTGGTCCCTAGAACATGATAACTATCAAGTCTGATAATTGTCCCTTGAACATGATAACCATATAGAGTCTGCAAATGATTATTTCAAATTGGTCCCAAGAACATGATAACCATATAAGACTTGAAATGTTGACTGATTTTTTTTCCTGCTACATGTACATGTAACAACATGGACCAATATTCGAAAAAATTAACACAATTCACCATATCTTGGTAAATGTTAAAAGAGGTTCAATCGATTACCAGTATATTAAAGTTCTTCTGAAATATAGGATATAGGTTATCATGAATATACACCCTTTAAAAACGTTTAAAATGAACATATTTCCCAAATATGACTGTTATACCAAGTTTGAATTTGTATTACTATACGACGTGTCTCGGTATTTTGTACATGCTACATTCATGTATTCATTTTTGTTGTTTCTGTTATGGTATCAGTTTGATAATCTGTTATGTCTTATCGTTTTTAGTCCTAATAATTATAAAATTGCCTTCCATAACATCATTGTCATGAAAATTATTTGGAAGAGTATTGTGAAAATAATTGTATAAAGATCGAGATTGCATATTAGTTATTCATGTTATGTAAGTGCATCACTGTTTTTTTATGTCCTGTGGTGTTTGTTGTTGATCGAATATCTTCGTTGTTGTGCTGCAGTTTATATGTTGTGTTGACTATAATATCTTTTGTTTGTGCATTTCTCTGTGATTAATGTTCTTGCGTGTGCTTATCATAAAATATGCTGTACCAAGTCAGGAATACGGCAGCTGTTATCTAAAATTTCGTTTCTATGTATGTTGGCATTTGTTTTTTTTTGCACTACAGTGTTCCTATTGTTCCTCTCTTATAGTTGATGTGTTTCCCTCGGTTTAAATTTGTAACCCGGATTTATTTCTTTTAATTGATTTATGACCTTTGAATACTGGTATACTACTGTTGCCTTTATTTAATTTTATTTGTCTCTTCCTGGTTTATTGTTTATTTTTATTTTTATATAACAAAATACAACCTGTCAAAAATTTCAAACACAACCTTGAAATTTAAGATTATCTATTATTCCCTATTACTTTTTTTAAGGTAGATTCATGGTATACCACAACTTGGATTGTACAATCCCAGTACAAAATCGGTCTAGTTATTTGCCCAAATCTGCAAATTTGGGGACAGATTTGCAATTTATTGGTTCAACAGTTTATTTATATAAAGAAAACTTGGTGATTTATTGTATAACTCAAAATATTTAAACAAATATCAAATTTTGTGTTTTTAGAATCATTTTGTTTTTAAATAAGCCATTTAAGGGGAGATAACTCTTTTAGTAAAATATTTATACTGGACAGATAGGGAAATTTTTTATTTTTACTTAGAGCAAGAAAACAAGTTCGGCGACACCATTTTTTCCTTTTATTTTCTTAAAACATATTATAAAACCTATCTTCTCACAATTTATTTCAAAATACTATCTCATAGAACAAATGTGTTTTTTCATGAACACTCTAACCAAATTTAGGCAATTTTCAACAATTCATAGCTTGGAAAATAGCACGGTGACCCATACCTTTTATTATATTTTTGAAAAAAGCATAGTAAAATCTTCATTTAGGCAAAGTATAAGAACATTCTATCTCAAGAAATATATACCTATGATCTACCTTAATTGACTTTTATGAATTAAACAAGATAGTTGTTATACAGCAATTAAACAGCAACCCAATCAACAGAAAAATGAAGAAATTTGACGGTCAAAATACAGTTTTTTTGACAACTAACTGTACTGAAAACAATTTTCTACCTATTATTATTACACATAAATATATACGAATAAACAAGTTTTCGCTCTATGTACATAATTAATTAGCATTATAAATATTACAGTATTTGCTGCATGCATGTGATTACATTTAAAAAATAAAATGCTCCGCAGGGCGCAGCTTGATACTACCGCAGAGGTCGAACCCTGAAGAGTTAGGGCAAGTATGGACACAACATTCTAGCTTGATACAGCTCTGAATTTGGATTGTGATTAAATATTTGACACACCATTGGTTTCTGACACAGAATGAATGTGGTCTAATAACTTAAAAGTTTTAAATTGGACATTCACCTATTATGGTCCAATATCCAAAATCTAAATACATGGTTAGATTCAGCATATCAAAAAACCCCAAGAATTCAATTTTTGATGAAATCAAACAAAGTTTTATTTTAGACCCTTTTGACCTCAATGTGGACAAAGTTGATAACGGGGCCAAAAAATCAAAAATCTAAATACATAGTTAGATTCAGCATATCAAAGAACCCCATATATTCAATTTTTGTTGAAATCAAACAAAGTTTAATTTTGGACCCCGATTTGGACCAACTTGAAAACTGGGCCCATAATCAAAAATCTAAATACATGTTTAGATTCAGCATACCAAAGAACCCTAAAAATTCAATTTTTGTTAAAATCAAACTAAGTTTAATTTTGGACCCTTTGGACCTTAATGTAGACCAATTTGAAAACGGAACCAAAAATTAAGAATCTAAATACACGGTTAGATTCGGCATATCAAAGAACCCCAATAATTCAATTTTTGATGAAATCAAACAAAGTTACATTTTGGACCCTTTGGACCTCAATGTGGACCAATTTAAAAACGGGGCCCAAAATCCAAAAACTTAATTCAAGAATTCAAGAATAAAACCCCATTGAAATTGATCAAGAAATTAGCAATTTATACGAAGTATCTTCTTTTGCACAATACTGTGCAATTGAATATTTCTTGCTATTGCGCAATACTGTACAATTGACAATTTCTTGCTATTGCGCAATATTGTGCTATTGGATATTTCTTGCTATTGCGCAATACTGTGCAATTGAAGATTTCTTGCTATTGCGCAATACTGTGCAATTGAAGATTTCTTGCTATTGTGCAATACTGTGCAATTGAAAATTTCTTGCTATTGCACAATACTTATTATATAATAATTTACACATCCTGTTTGGTGTGTATCTCCTACCATATCATTATTATTTGCTTTTAAATATAAATCAGAAATAACCAACTTAAAATGGAAAATTTTAAAAGAAAAATAAAAGGAAAAAAAGAAAAAAAAAAAGAAAACAAAAAAAAAATCCCCCCCCCAAATTTTTTGAACCCCCTTATGATTCATCACCCCCAAACTCAATCCCATCCTTCCCTTTGTGGTATGGTACCTTGCAGTACAATTTCAGAGAGATCCATACACTTGAACACAAGTTATTGTCTAGAAACTAGAAAAATGCTTATTTTTGGCCCCCAATTCCTAAACGTTTAGGGCAATTACCCCCAAACTCAATTCCAGCTTTCCCTTTGTGATATGGAACCTTGTAGTACAATTTCAGAAATATCCAAACACTAACACACAAGTTATTGTCATGAAACTAGAAAAATGATTGTTTTTTGCCCCTTTTTTGGCCCCTAATTCCTAAAATTTTGAGGCAATTACCCCCAAAATCAATTACAGCCTTCCCTTTGTGATATGGAACCTTGTGGTACAATGTCAGAGAGATCCATACACTTACACACAAGTTATTGTCTGGAAGTTACAAAAATGCTTATTTTTGGCCCCTTTTTGGCCCCTAATTCCTTAACTGTTGGTACCATAACCCCCAAAATCAATCCCAACCTTCCTTTCGTGGTATTTAACCTTATGGTAAAATTTCATGGAGATCCATTCACTTTAACTAAAGTTAGAGTGCGAAAACCAATGTGTCTTTGGACGACGACAACAACGACGACGCCAACGTCATACCAATATACGACCAAAAAATTTTTATTTTTTGCGGTTGTATTATAATACTGAAACAGTTCAATATTAGTCTATTCTTTAACTTTAGTCAAATCATTCCACTTTAATTTACTTTTTTTTATCTTGCCAATTATTTTCTGTAACTCTATTTCAGCTGACATCTCTATTAAAGATGATTGATTCTATACATAAAGGATTGGTCTTCTGCAAATCTGTTGCTGTGGTAGTATGCATACATAACTGTTTGTTATACAAATTGTGAAGATGAGCTTATTTCTCTATTGTGTTGGAACATTGATTTGGTGTTCAATTTCAAATTCAAAAGCCATTCCTGAAATAAAATAAAATATGTCACTGCACAGATAAAATGAGTTATTGTTTAAAATTTTACTAACAATATTTAAAGTTTTACAAATTTAACCATTTAGACCAATATAAAAAGAAACTACAGTGATTATCAGACAATGTAACCATAATAATGGTCAAAGTCAACAGGTATAATCAAACAGTTTAATTACCTCTCTATATAGATATAAGAAGATGTGGAATGAGTGGCAATGAGACAGCACTCCATCCAAGTCACAATGTGTAATAAAATGCTCCGCTGGGCGCAGCTGGATACGACCGCAGAGGTTGAACCCTGAACAGTTGGGGCAAGTATGGACACAACATTCAAGCTTGATACACACTGAATTTGGATTGTGATTAAATATTTGACACAGCATAGGTTTCTGACACAGAATGAATGTGGTCTAAGAACTTATAAATTTTTAATTTACCTATTCAAACCATATCATTATTATTTGCTTTTATATATAAATCAGAAATAACCAATCTAAATTGGAAAATTTTAAAGAAAAATAAAATGCTCCGCAGGGCGCAGCTTGATACGACCGCAGAGGTCGACCCCTGAACAGTTGGGGCAAGTATGGACACAACATTCAAGCTTGATACAGCTTTGCATTTGGATTGTGATTAAATATTTGACACAGCATAGGTTTCTGACACAGAATGAATGTGGTCTAAGAACTTAAAATTTTTAAATTGGACATTCACCTATTATGGTCCAATATCCAAAATCTAAATACATGGTTAGATTCAGCATATCAAAGAACCCCATATATTCAATTTTTGTTGAAATCAAACAAAGTTTAATTTTGGACCCCAATTTGGACCAACTTGAAAACTGGGCCAAAAATCTAAAATCTAAATACATGTTTAGATTCAGCATATCAAAGAACCCCATATATTCAATTTTTGTTGAAATCAAACAAAGTTTAATTTTGGACCCCAACTTGGACCAACTTGAAAACTGGGCCCATAATCAAAAATCTAAACACATGTTTAGATTCAGCATATCAAAGAACCCCAAGAATTCAATTTTTGTTAAAATCAAACTAAGTTTAATTTTGGACCCTTTGGACCTTAATGTAGACCAATTTAAAAACGGGACCCAAAATTAAAAATCTAAATACACGGTTAGATTTGGCATATCAAAGAACCCCAATAATTCAATTTTTGATGAAATCAAACAAAGTTTAATTTTGGACCCTTTTGACCTCAATATGAACCAATTTGATAGCGGGTCCACAAATAAAAAATCTAAATACATGGTTAGATTCAGCATATCAAAGAACCCCAAGAATTCAATTTTTGATGAAATCAAACAAAGTTTAATTTTGGACCCTTTTGACCTCAATGTGGACAAAGTTGATAACGGGGCCCAAAAATCAAAAATCTAAATACATGGTTAGATTCAGCATATCAAAGAACCCCATATATTCAATTTTTGTTGAAATCAAACAAAGTTTTATTTTGGACCCCGATTTGGACCAACTTGAAAACTGGGCCCATAATCAAAAATCTAAATACATGTTTAGATTCAGCATATCAAAGAACCCTAAAAATTCAATTTTTGTTAAAATCAAACTAAGTTTAATTTTGGACCCTTTTGACCTTAATGTAGACCAATTTGAAAACGGAACCAAAAATTAAGAATCTAAATACACGGTTAGATTCGGCATATCAAAGAACCCCAATAATTCAATTTTTGATGAAATCAAACAAAGTTAAATTTTGGACCCTTTGGACCTCAATGTGGACCAATTTAAAAACGGGGCCAAAATCCAAAAACTTAATACACGGTTAGATTCAGCATATTAAAGAACCCCAAGAATTCAAGAATAAAACCCCATTGAAATTGATCAAGAAATTAGCAATTTATACGAAGTATCTTCTTTTGCACAATACTGTGCAATTGAATATTTCTTGCTATTGTGCAATACTGTACAATTGACAATTTCTTGCTATTGCGCAATATTGTGCTATTGGATATTTCTTGCTATTGCACAATACTGTGCAATTGAAGATTTCTTGCTATTGCGCAATACTGTGCAATTGAAGATTTCTTGCAATTGTGCAATACTGTGCAATTGAAAATTTCTTGCTATTGCACAATACTTATTATATAATAATTTACACATCCTGTTTGGTGTGTATCTTCTTCCATATCATTATTATTTGCTTTTAAATATTAATCAGAAATAACCAACTTAAAATGGAAAATTTTAAAAGAAAAAAAAAAGGAAAAAAAGAAAAAAAAAGAAAAAAAAAAAATCCCCCCCCCCCAAATTTTTTGAACCCCCTTATGATTCATCACCCCCAAACTCAATCCCAGCCTTCCCTTTGTGGTATGGTACCTTGCAGTACAATTTCAGAGAGATCCACACACTTGAACACAAGTTATTGTCTGGAAACTAGAAAAATGCTTATATTTGGCCCCTTTTTGGCCCCCAATTCCTAAACGTTTCGGGCAATTACCCACAAACTCAATTCCAGCTTTCCCTTTGTGATATGGAACCTTGTAGTACAATTTCAGAAATATCCAAACACTTACACACAAGTTATTGTCATGAAACTAGAAAAATGCTTGTTTTTTGCCCCTTTTTTGGCCCCTAATTCCTAAAATTTTGAGGCAATTACCCCCAAAATCAATTACAGCCTTCCCTTTGTGATATGGAACCTTGTGGTACAATGTCAGAGAGATCTAACACTTACACACAAGTTATTGTCTGGAAGTTACAAAAATGCTTATTTTTGGCCCCTTTTTGGCCCCTAATTCCTTAACTGTTGGTACCATAACCCCCAAAATCAATCCCAACCTTCCTTTTGTGGTATTGAACCTTATAGTAAAACTTCATGGAGATCCATTCACTTAAACTAAAGTTAGAGTGCGAAAACCAATGTGTCTTCGGACGACGCCGGACGACGCCAGACGACGACGCCAACGTCATACCAATATACGACCAAAAAATTTTCAATTTTTGCGGTCGTATAAAAAAGGAAAAAAAGGAAAAAAAAAAATCCCTCCCCCCAAATTTTTTGAACCCCCTTATGATTCATCACCCCCAAACTCAATCCCAGCCTTCCCTTTGTGGTATGGTACCTTGCAGTACAATTTCAGAGCGATCCATACACTTGAACACAAGTTATTGTCTGGAAACTAGAAAAATGCTTGTTTTTTTGCCCCTTTTTGGCCCCAAATTCCTAAACGTTTAGGGCAATTACCCCCAAACTCAAACCCAGCTTTCCCTTTGTGATATGGAACCTTGAAGTACAATTTCATAAAGATTCATACACTTACACACAAGGTATTGTCCTGAAACTAGAAAAATGCTTGTTTTTTGCCCCTTTTCGGCCCCTAATTCCTAAAATTTTGAGGCAATTACCCCCAAAATCAATCTCAGCCTTTCCTTTGTGGTATGGTACCTTGCAGTACAATTTCAGAGAGATTCATACACTTGAACACATGTTATTGTCTGGAAACTAGAAAATGCTTATTTTCGACCCCTTTTTGGCCCCTTATTCCTAAACGTTTAGGGCAATTACCCCCAAACTCAATTCCAGCTTTCCCTTTGTGATATGGAACCTTGTAGTACAATTTCAGAAATATCCAAACACTAACACACAAGTTATTGTCATGAAACTAGAAAAATGCTTGTTTTTTGCCCCTTTTTTGGCCCCTAATTCCTAAAATTTTGAGGCAATTACCCCCAAAATCAATTACAGCCTTCCCTTTGTGATATGGAACCTTGTGGTACAATGTCAGAGAGATCCATACACTTACACACAAGTTATTGTCTGGAAGTTACAAAAATGCTTATTTTTGGCCCCTTTTTGGCCCCTAATTCCTTAACTGTTGGTACCATAACCCCCAAAATCAATCCCAACCTTCCTTTCGTGGTATTGAACCTTATGGTAAAACTTCATGGAGATCCATTCACTTAAACTAAAGTTAGAGTGCGAAAACCAATGTGTCTTCGGACGACGCCGGACGACGCCAGACGACGACGACGCCAACGTCATACCAATATACGACCAAAAAATTTTCAATTTTTGCGGTCGTATAAAAAAGGAAAAAAAGGAAAAAAAAAATCCCTCCCCCCAAATTTTTTGAACCCCCTTATGATTCATCACCCCCAAACTCAATCCCAGCCTTCCCTTTGTGGTATGGTACCTTGCAGTACAATTTCAGAGCGATCCATACACTTGAACACAAGTTATTGTCTGGAAACTAGAAAAATGCTTGTTTTTTTGCCCCTTTTTGGCCCCAAATTCCTAAACGTTTAGGGCAATTACCCCCAAACTCAAACCCAGCTTTCCCTTTGTGATATGGAACCTTGAAGTACAATTTCATAAAGATTCATACACTTACACACAAGGTATTGTCCTGAAACTAGAAAAATGCTTGTTTTTTGCCCCTTTTCGGCCCCTAATTCCTAAAATTTTGAGGCAATTACCCCCAAAATCAATCTCAGCCTTTCCTTTGTGGTATGGTACCTTGCAGTACAATTTCAGAGAGATTCATACACTTGAACACATGTTATTGTCTGGAAACTAGAAAATGCTTATTTTCGGCCCCTTTTTGGCCCCTTATTCCTAAATGTTTTGGGCAATTACCCCAAAACTCAATTCCAGCTTTCCCTTTGTGATATGGAACCTTGTAGTACAATTTCAGAAAGATCCATACACTTACACACAAGTTATTGTCATGAAACTAGAAAAATGCTTGTTTTTTGCCCCTTTTTTGGCCCCTAATTCCTAAAATTTTGAGGCAATTACCCCCAAAATCAATCCCAGCATTCCCTTTGTGATATGGAACCTTGTGGTACAATGTCAGAGAGATCCATACACTAACACACGTTATGTCTGGAAGTTACAAAAATGCTTATTTTTGGCCCCTAATTCCTTAACTGTTGGTACCATAACCCCCAAAATCAATCCTCACCTTCCTTTTGTGGTATTGAACCTTATGGTAAAATTTCATAGAGA